TCTTGCTGAAAGGTACAGAAATGCTTGCCTCATGATTACCTAAACTTTTTGAATAAAAAATAAAAATCTCTTTAAAAGCTTTAAGTTCAATTATGCTTTTCTTAAAAGATTAAGTTGACTGGTGGATACAGAAGACTTACTATTTTTATGCCATTTTTTAATTAGAGCTTTATAGTTGTACACAATAGTTGGGTTCATCCCGACGAACGCATACATGCATGGAAATCGATTTCAGTTCATGATCCGCCCCCCTATTATGTCAGTGTTTAAAGTGCATCTGTGCCAGAATGAAAGGGTTATAATTTTTACCTTAAATGAAAACTTGTTAGTAACATGACGACAGAGTGGCATTTCCTGAATCACCCCACCCCACCCCACTCCACCCCACTCCCGCTTGGGCCCCGGGGCTGAACGTCTTCTGCAATCTGTTGTAACATCCAGCCACGAGGAGTTGGGAGAATTCTGGGAAGCATTTCTGTTTTGTTTGTAACCATGGGAAAGATTTCTCTCGGTCCTAGAGGGATACATGTTCTTATGATAGAGTACTTTACATAGTGAGTAGTGGCTGAAATTAGGAATGAAAAAGAAATACTATTAAATAGCATTCTTGAAACTGTCCTATCAAATTCAGTTTGATTTTTTTTTCATTTTCAATTTGAGTTCGTGATGTGTGTGGGTTTCTTTTAAATAAAATCCGAATCTTACACTTTAGTAATAAAACGTTTAAGAACTTACATTATTGCAGGTTTTAGTATAGGCTCGGCTTGGACTTTTACTAGTAGTTTTAGAAATTAATCTTTTGGAGATAACTATGGGCACGGAAATTTATCTTTAATTTGTTCACATAAAGGTAGACTTTCTAGAAGTATACTTTTATAGTGTCGCTTACCTCGGATACTGTGCCAGTAGAGACAGTTCTAATGAATGTGGAAAAATAGCTGTGCTTTTCTTTTATTCTCTTTTACATATGGAGAATTTTTTTACATCAATACAAAATTATAAGAAAAAACTAAATTGCGTTTATGGTTAGTTTCTAATTTTGTTCTGAAAGAACAAATCTGTATGTTCAGAAAGGAATTTTGCAAAATTTCACTTTTAATATTATTGATACAATTTACTTAACCGAAGCTATTTGCGTGCCTTCACCTCCCTCACCGCCCCCTTAAAACAGGGGAACAGGAAAGGTTAAAACTCCAAAAGGGAAACATTTACACAGAGATCCTATTTAGCTTTGCTGACTTTCTCTTGGTTCGTTCCTACTAGTCCCTAGCGCAGTAGGAAGTTTGTCTTCATTCGGCCACCGTCTCGTCAGCGGTACCGAGTATTTTGTCCGCTTGCAGCCGCCGTCCCAGATATTACTCACTGAGTTCTAGGACCGAGGAACTTGTGTTTTCGGGGAGCCGGCTGGTGTTGCCGGCACCATGGAGTCGCCTTTTAGCCCAGGACTCTCTCACAGACCAGATGAAGAGTGGGGTGAGTGGGATCTGCCAATGTACCAGGGGTGGCTCGGGTCCGCGTTT